GGCTGATGTTCAAGCAAACCGAGCAATAAATCTTCGAGGTGAGTGGCTTCCAAATGTACCAAATTCATCAGGTTTTGATTGTTTGTGCTTTCATTTATTCGAACTGATTGGATCTTATGCTTGAACAGATGGACAAGTTGAAGTGGATTGGAATGGGAAGTAGCTCAAACAAAATGCTGGGAAGGGGAAGGCGTCGTTTTGTAAGCCGAAAGAATTAGTCTATTAAATTCGAACTTGTTTAAAACATATGCAATCGGATTCTGTTGGGTAAAAGATGTTTCGAAAACTTCCGATGGAGCAAAGCACTCCTTGATGTAAAGTTTTCAGTGCTCATTTTGGAATCCAAAACTTGTTGCTAATATAATATAAGGCTCGTCTGAGAGTGCTGATGTTGGAAGCACTTTTGCTCATAAGCGATTTTGTTCTTAGTATATTTATATTTCATGGGCTCGTTTAGAAGTGCTTTTAAAATAATTAAAAACGCTTTTGGGACCCAAAATCAATTTTACCAAAAACACTTTGAATCATTTTAAAAGCACTTTCAAACGAACTTTAATATATAGGAAGAGAGCGAGATTCAAAAGTGGGTGTAAATTTGAGAGGATGAAAATCATGGACGGCTGGGATTAATTTCCCAGATTCTAGTATACTAGATAGGGTGCCAAAGACCCAAAAGGCGCAATCAATCTAGGTTCGGAGTCTTAGTTGAAGCAGACAGAAGTTGGTTGGATAATGCTTTGGTGAGAAAAAGAACAGAGGAATCAAAAACGAAGATAATGTATCCTGAATCGTAGACTTTGCCTTCTAAATTTTCATTTGATTGCGGGTTTCATTGAATTTTCAGTTCGTGCTAATGTACCCGAACAAATTCAAGAAATTGAAACACCTGCAGAGTCCAAAATGACGAGAAACGTCCATAAACTTGACGAACTAATTGAATGGACTAAGGGACACTACCATGAATTGAAAGTTCAAGAGGGTCATATAATCCTAATGAAACTTAAGAGAGCTATGTGAAACACGGCTTATAATTCAGATCTTGGTTTTATTTTGATTATTTAACAATTAAATGTCTCTATAAGTCTTTTCGACTTTCGAAAATGTGGGTTACCGTAGCAAAGTAACTAGCTGGTTCTTTCTTCCAAACTAAATAACCAAATGTTAAAAAAAAAAAATTAAAAAAAAAAATCCAAAACTAACTACCATTTCCCGTATCACACTAGTGATATATTCACATGTAGGGCAGACAATTGCATTCGTGTACCGCTGCATACTTGTGAGTGAAATGTTTTCCAAGGCAAGCACACATGATTCATCTTGCTTCTGTATTAACCCGTTAGCTTGTTTAGTGTTATGCACGACATGGATGAATTGCACTTTCAGTTCTGACTTCTGAGCCCTCCATATGTAAAATATGAGATTTTTTACGGTAGTCCGAAGTATTTCATATTCCGAATGTTTTAATCTTTTGATATTTGTGCAAAAATATCAAAACTTCACGGTTAAACACACAAGTTATTTCATATTCCGAAGCAACTTAGGTCATCTCCAACCGAAAGATCTAGAGGGTCGAAAATAGCTCGAAAATCGTCTCCAACTGGTTGGCCACTTTCAGCCAGGCCGCGGGCTAGCCCAATTTCAATTTTTTATTTTTATTTTTTGGGGTTCTTTTCCATTAGCCCAACCCCTTTTTAATTTTTTGTTCATTTCCGTTTGCCCAGCCCACTTTAGAGTTTAGGGCTTAGTTTTTTTTTTTTTTTATGATCCCAACCCATTTTTTGTTTTTATGCCCAGTAGGCTTTTTTTTTTTTTCCTCTAATTTTTTCCTACACAATTTCTTTTCACATTCCATACTATAACCATTTGATTCTCGATTGGAGACGGTTTTTTGTGATAAGGCTAAAACGAGTTCTATAACCCTTTGGTCATCGGTTGGAGATGGTAAGAATATGACCTTGCACTATTTATTAAAATATTAATTTCTTAAAAGATCAAAGAACTAAAATGAGTTCTCTGATCAACCTCGTTGAATATTTAGAATTTCTGATAAAACATATGGACTTAAACCACGCACGCTCGTTGAGTTGGAGTCTCCCACATTCCTTGCTTTACGTACAGGCAAGGCCGTTTTCACATAATAATTTCATCCGTACAAATTTGTATGTTTGCGTTTTACAGGTTGGCCCTAGATTATAAACTGTGCACTACTGCACCTGCAATGCCGACAGAGAGAGAGAGAGAGCTCATGTCAATTTTGATTGATAGAGAGATGTCATGTGATTTCCTGAAGTGTTGCATGAATGTGCATGCATGATTGACGATGATGATGGGTCTTCTGGCATTTCTCACCCGGAGTGAAGTTCCTATTGACAAGAAAAATCCAACGGCAGAGAATTAACTTCAATTCTATATGATTTTTCAAAGTTTTTGGGAAGTGTGATGTAATTATAATTTTATAACGCTATCCTCTCTGCCAAAGGTGAAAAGAAAAGTAATTGTCCCTACATTATACAGCTGGGTTTAACTGTCTAGGGTTTTAAATCGTGTGTGATGTTTGCAGAAGGTGTATAGTTGGTCGATTAACTTTATGTGTGCGTGGATCCATTAACGTTTCGTGCAATGAGTCGACCGCATGCATAACCTTGCAGATAACATCGATTACCATGTCTTTTTTTTTTTTTTTTTTTTTTTTTTGGGGGAAACACCATGTCTTTGTTTACATATGCAACTTGGAGGCAGATTCTTTGCACTCTTACTTCTTGTGCTTTTCTGTTTTATATGATCACGGTTAATTCATATCAATATTTTATATTATTATTTTTTTTATCTTATTATCTTTATAAAAAAAATAATATAAAATGTTGAAGTGACTTAACTGTGATCACACAAATAAGAAAACACAGAAGAACACAGAAAGTGAGAGAGCAGAGAATCTGCCTCTATGCAACTTGGCTCACATTTTCATAAATCTTCCGAAAAAGATCACATAATAATAATTAGGGTTCATTTAGCATACACACACATATATATATATATATATGAGGGTCCTACAAAACACGTTGCTGTGAAATCTAATTTGGTTTCGGGTTTATTTAAATAGAACGAGTTCATCGTCATTGTAATGTACTTTTTATATTAGTATAAGAATATATAGAGGTATCGTTTAGTATTACGATTTAGTGGTATTTCTCTTCACTTATAAATGAGAGGCTTTTGGTTTGATTGTCGTCAAAGGCGAATTTGAGCCACATTATTATAACTAATCTAGTGTAAGGCTTAATTCACTCCCCCATCCCATAATGTAGATAATATCAATTGTTAAAAAAAAACATATAGAGATAGTCAAATACATGACATTGAATTAATAGCTCGGGACACCACTTAGTACTACAGTCTAGTGATATTTCTGTTCATTTGTAAGTGAGATATCTTAAATTCGATTCTCGCCAAAGACGAATTTAGATCATATTATTATGATTAATCTAGTATAAGATTTAGCACACTCTTTCACTTTTTAGTATAAATAATATCAAAGAAAAAAAAATCTCTAGTTTAAAAAACGTACCATAGGCGAAATAATATATTCTCAGTCGCCTGCACTTGAAACCTGTTGTTGTCATCAATTGGTATAAATGAAACCAGTTGTAATCCATGATTCCTAGAGTTGTTGAATCAATTTTTACTTTGATCGGTCAATTCGATCGTTGGATCTGTTGACAAAAAACCAGCTGTGTTCAAAAGAAAGTTACGACTTACGAGCCCCCCACCCCAAAAAAAAGAAAACCAGCTGTGTTCATTCAATTAAAGAAAATTAATGAAAATATTTGAAAATTTTGAATTTTAATAATAAGAATAAATAATAAAATTAATAGTATCAGGATTAATTTTTTAGTTTTTAATGTAAAAGTATGATTTTTTATTAAAATGAACAGTACCAGGAGCTTTTCGTTAAAGTTTTCATTAACAAGGAAACCTAATAAGTTCAAGTATCAAATTTTAGATTTAGATTAACGAGTAATACTACTTTTATTTCATAGTTTTTATATCATATTTGTATTATCTGTCTAATAATGTAGAATCAGCGTGCAATTTGAAATTTCTAACAGTAGATTTTAAATTTTGTAGTATTGACTGTTTTAAAACATGTCAAGGTCATACTCCAAGTCTCCAACAGACTATTTGACCATCGATTTGTTTTTAACTTATTAAATCCAATGATTAGAAAAAAAGAGAAGTATTTAACATGCTAAAAATATTGTATGAAAATTACATTAAAAAAAATAATACCACGCAATTTTCGTTTCTAGTTTTTATGTGCAGATCTTGTGTGGAGGATATTAATTTACAAGTGTTGCTACATATATTATATATTTAAATTTTATTTTATAGACTACATAATGTCACAGTTGACATTTAAATTTTTTGTTTAAATCATTAAATAAAGTATTAAGCCATTGACTTGGGATGACACACACTGTGATGTGAGGAGATGAAAAAAAATGGAAAAGTAGATATAGGTACATAAGAGTACTTGGTAGAGAAGGGAAGGTGGGTTGAACTCTCGAGTCAGATTTCGGGACAGCAAGCTAACTTGGCTCGCTGTGATCACATTTCATCATGCAGCTGGCATATCATCACCTTGACCGATCTAGCAAGATATTTACTTATTCTATTCTCGATATATTGTAACAGTATTTCAAACTGATCATATATTATTTTTACTTTAAATAATAATGTATAGTTGAGATACATATATAATGATGTTCTCGTTATATTAATAAGACAAAATCCCAAACTATAAGGCACACAAGTAGCGTGTAAGATTTAAGATAAACCCTAATGAACATAGTTTTTCTTACGTCTCTTTCTTACCAATGATATAATGTTTATAAATTTCAATTTTTACTTTTGATATTACGTTATTAATTTGAGATACCAACTCAGTAACTTATTCGATATAGTAGGTAAGTGTTTCTCTCCTGCCTCCTGCGGTGGACCAGTCCCTTCCTTTCAACACTATTTATACCACATCCCTGCTTCTCCTAGAATCATCACTGCTCGGTACTTCCCTTTTAGATCTTGACTTTTCCAGCTGTTTTGCAATGGCTTCCAAAGCCATGCTCCTTCTCTTTGCAACCATTCTCCTTTTCACCGCTAGGGTACGTAATTATCTACATTTTTATTACTTAGTATTATTATTTGGTTTAATTTCCCATTTATTTGGGTGTCTAAATTGGAAAGGTACCCTTGGTCTTGTAGGCTTCATCACTTGATCATCATGAGGAACTCAAGATTAAGGTACTTCTAATTATATACTTTAAACAGTGTGGTAAAATCTAATTTTTACATCTACATCGACTGGAGCTAACCAAAAAGTTCAATCTTTGGTAGAAATTTTGACCTTCATTGTTGTGAAATTAAATAATTACAGATTAATTATGTCAAGGCAACAGCTCCACCACCTCTATCCAAGGCTCCAGCGCCGCCGCCGCTTGTGGTCAAGCCACCCACTCCACCACTTGCCAAGCCGCCAACTCCACCACTTACCAAGCCATCACCACCAATTTACAAGCTCCCTACTCCTCCCCTTGCCAAGCCACCAACTCCACCACTCACCAAGCCATCACCACCAATTTACAAGCCACCTACTCCTCCACTTACAAAGCCACCGTCTCCGCCACTTACCAAGCCACCATCTCCTCCCCTTGCCAAGCCACCATCTCCTCCATATGCCAAGCCAACTCCTATCCCACAGTGAGCACCACTCCTGTCATCCACCAGTGAAGCCACCAACTCCTGTCATCCCACCAGTGAAGCCACCAACTCCTGTCATCCCCCCAGCCAAGCCGCCAACTCCACCACTCACCAAGCCATCACCACCAATTTACAAGCCACCTCTTACAAAGCCACCGTCTCCACCACTTACCAAGCCACCATCTCCTCCCCTTGCAAAGCCACCATCTCCTCCATATGCCAAGCCAACTCCAGTCATCCCACCAGTGAAGCCACCAACTCCTGTCATCCCCCCAGTGAAGCCACCAACTCCTGTCAGTCCCCCGGTGAAGCCACCCACTTATCCACCACTTCCCCCGGTTAGGTCCAAAGCAGGTAAATATTCTTCTCACTGCCATAGAGAAGTGAAATTTATGTTTTTACTATTCTAATTAAACCCTTAACCTTGTACTAATTACAAAATGTTAGGCGTTCTATAGTCCCCAGTATGTCCCCAGTATATTTTGGTCCCTCGACTGAATTTAAGTTAAGGTAGAACTTTAAAACGTCACATGTATCTCGTAAACAAGTTCACGGACTAAAATGTAACTCATGAACTTGTTCACGGACTATAATGTAATTGAAAACCCTAAATGTGGCCGGTTAATTTGTGATTAAAATTGTTTTATCATTTTGGTGGGCAGATTGCATCCCATTGTGTGACAAGAGGTGCATGCTGCATTCAAGGAAGAGGGTGTGCATGAGAGCTTGCACGACGTGCTGCGACCGCTGCCGCTGCGTTCCTCCGGGAACATTCGGCAACCGGGAAAGATGCGGCAAGTGCTACACCGATATGGTCACCCATGGCAACAGAAGCAAATGCCCTTGAATTTAATAGAGAGAGAGAGAGAGAGAGAGAGTGAGAGAGAGAGGAAAATAAATGGTTTTCTTCCTCTGTCCTTTGTAATTTCCACTGCTTACTGCATGTGTGTTGAATGGGATAATTATTTATTATTAGTACTGGTATGGCCCTGGGGTTTTAAATATCAAATGTCATGTAGCGGATTTATAGTGCTTAATTACTCTAATGAATAACATATCGTGTTTGTCGGATGCCTACCCCAACCAACATATCTAATTTTCGGAGAATGTTTTTCTCTCTTTCTAATCTCTTCTTTTTCCCTTTCTTCTATTTTTCCCTTTCTTCTACTTGAATTATTAGATCAAATTACGTTAATATTTTATATTAATTTTTAAAAAAAGAATACAACAAAACAAATTATGAGAGGAGAGGAAAGAATGAGATGAGAATAGGAGGGAAAGAATCTTACTACTAATATTTTGTGTTTTGGTTACATGAGAAGAAATTGATCTATTCCTAGTTTTAACTCATTACACTTTTCTCTTCAGTTTGCCTATTTATAGTGACTGGAAAATCTTTATTTTTTTTATTTTCCATGATAAGTTCAATACTAAATTGTGATACAATAATTGTGTGATTTAGGCTATTTCTTCGTATCCAATATCGTTGTATAAATATTAATTAAAAAAAAAAAACTCGTTATCGTAAAATCATTGATACAATTTACAAGAACGAGTACTTGAAATCTATTCATTGTTGTGCGATTAGTGATGCTTTATTATAATATTTTTAGATCTGATATTTAAGAACTCTTTGTAAGCCGAGTTATTCATTATACGTGTTTGTAATGTTCTTTTTTAATGAATGAAATATTGTACTTTTTTTTTTTAATTTTTAAAAAACGTTTCGAAGGACTTTAAGATTTGGGCCTCGTGGAATTTTCACTCGGGCCCGTAGGATAATTGGTGGACCCCCCATTCCTCTATGGGCTTTTGGACAAATTTTATTGACAAACTTGAAACTAAACCACTTAATATTACGATTTAGTGGTATTTTGCTATATTTGTAAGTTGCAAGTGAGAGGTCTTAGATTCGATTTTTGCCAAAGAAAAACTTGAACCACATTATTGCTAATCCATTGCGAGGCTAAACCTATCTCTTTTCTCCTTAATTTAGATAATATCGTTTGTTAAAAAAAAAAAAAAAAAAAAAAAACTTGAAACTAACTTCATTTGACTATGGTTTCGTGGCATTGCACGTGACGCCACATGCATGTGTAAGAATATGAGAAACAGTACCAGTGAAGGACCTGGAAAATTTTCTACCTCCACCCTTTCAGAACAGTATTTATACCCCCCCATCGTAACTAGCTTTCCTGCAAGCATCTCACTCCCTTATAGTTTCTTCATAGAGCTGCTGTTCACTAAACAAAATGGCTATCAAAGTTATCTTCCTCCTGTTCGTTACTGTTCTCCTGGTTTCTACGATGGTAATTAACCATATCCACACTGGTTTTATGCACTTATTTTGTAATTATATTGGCAAACTCTTAATTTGACATACTTCTCTTTGTAGGTTTCATCTCAGGACGATGATGGTATCGACGATCTCAAGGCAAAGAAGGTACGAATTAATTTTTTTTAAATGAAGACTAGTTATGAGGCTAACTTCACATCGTACCTCAACGACTCAAATCATATATTTTTCAAGTTACATTTTATAAATCATCATTGCAAAATATTAGCAAAAAAATGTTTGATGAATTTAATTGAGTTCAAAGAAATTGACACTAAATGTTCCAAGAAACATTAAAGTTTCATCACGACATTCAAATGAGTAAATGATTTTGGATTGAATTGATATTTTTGCAAAGATGATCTATGAATGAAGACTTAAAAAATAAATTGTTTGGGTTGTTGAAGTTTGATGTATGATGAACACCACAACCAATCCCCAATTTTATTAAAAGTTGAGAATCCCTTTGGAGTGTGTGTGTATATATTGACCATGTCTTATGTTAAAGTTGATCAACAATATAATCAGTAAATATAGTTCAAATAATAGTAGACTCAAACTATAAATAACTTATGCACCAAAAACTGAATCAGATCAACCAAAAACTGAATCAGATCATGTATCTTGAAATAAATAATTTGGTTTAGATGTAGTTTTTTAGTTTTATGATATATTTGTGTTGCACTTCTCTATGGAAACTAATTATTGGAGGAATATTGAGCATTTATTTAATATGGTTTCAGCCATCACCTACGAAACCCAAGCCATCACCAAAAGCACCCAAGTCGCCATCTTCAAAGGGACCCAAATCACCACCAAAATCACCCCCCAAATCACCCAAGTCACCGGCAAAGCCCGGAAAGTCGCCACCAGGTGCACCACCGTCAGCTGATGATGATCCGTACTCTGATGACCTTCCGGAGGATGAGCCGGTCACTCCGCCACTTTCCGTATCTAAGGTCAGACACTGCATGCACATATGCACTATTGACATGGCATGTCTGTGATTATTGATGTTGTTTTCTTGCAGCATAAAGTTCTTTTAGTTCGCATGCATATGGTATGTGTTGAGATGAACTAATTTGTTACATATTTGTCCTTGTATTTGCAGGTCTCATCTCATGAAGACAAGAAAATCATGGTAAGGTTACAATTTAATTTTTTACTTTGTTATATATATGGTGAGGGTGAGTCATGGCTCAACGGAAATGTTGCGTCTTTGTGACTAAAAAAATCAGTTGTTTAAGTCGTGGAAACTAGAAACAGTTTTTTTTTGTAAAACAGAGAGCTTTTTTAGCTTGGGGTCGCCCTTATTTACTGTATTATATTTATGGTCTATATATATTTATATATGCATGGCAATTGGCAATGGAAATTAACTTTTAATATTATGTTCTGGTTGCAGGGGCCAAAGTATAAATATTCAGGTTCATCGTCGGACGGTGAGCGACCAACAAATGGTAGCCAAAGCTAATCTAATAGGAGTACATATACAAGAAAGGCAATAAAATGTTATAATGTATAATTCAATAATGTTTATTCAACTGCTCAATCTTCATGTAAGGGATGACATATATTTCAATAGTAAATAACCCTAGTTCCTTTTTTTTTAATTTCCCAATTAATAAAAGATCTCTGTATGATACATGGTCCACTTCGATTCGACAAGTCACATATTACTAACCACAAAATCGGAAGAAAATCAAATAGACAATTAACTGAAAGGAAAATGTCAAAATTGTAACGTACAAACGGTTCAGCCACTTAGTACTATGGTTCAATTCTCGCTAAAGGCAAATTTGAACCAAATTATTGCTAGCCCATTATGAGGCTAAGCCCACCCCCTCCCCCTTAGTGTAGAAAATATTGCTTGTTCAATTTTTTTTTTCTTGTAGAAACAGTTCATTATTCACGTATGTTCATGACTGTCATATCCTATATTAGTGGTGGGAGTCAGAATTGTAGTCTAAGAGGGGCCCAAAACTTCTTACCTTATAAAATTCCAACGTATCTTGCTTTGGGAAACTATCTTTTGGATCTTGAATTAATGATGTCTTCCTTGCCATACTCTTTCTTAGGTACTATCCACAATCCTGATACATAAACTTGCAATATTACGACCCTCACAATAAGTGGGGATTCATAAATTTTGTGAAGTGATTTTCATGCTCCTTTTTCTCCTTCTACGCCCCGTATTTTTTTCCTCTTTAGACTCAAAGCTCCCATGACTACAGACTCCAGCCTCCTAAACTTCATTGGAGCCACCAACTTCATATTATCAAACCTGGTGAATGAAAAAACAAGAGAAGCGTTGGGTTGAAGTCATGACGAAAAACTCAAAGGTATTGCATAGTGCTATTGTTTTTTAACCGGAAAAAAAATATGTCAGGGCCTTGGACCATTTTTGTCCCTTCATGGCTCTGCCAGTGTCCAATGCATGCACGATCAGCTCTGAGTGAAAAAAAAAGAAAAAAAAAAAAAAAAGGTTAACTTCAGAAATTTTATTCAGCAGTACCGACTCTTTCCTTATCACAGTTGTTTGAACTCAGAACTTCACAAGACGGATCAAATAGAAATTTGCCTTGAATTATGAAGATGGAAGCATGCAACTGTTTTCCAGTCCAATATTAAATTTGCCTTGAATTGAGATTTGTAAAAATTGACTGTGCTGATTGACTCCCTTGGTGATAAGCCATAAGGCCATCTTCAACTGACCCAGCCAAAGAGTCATAGGGCTAAAAATAGCTTGTTTTGACACGAAAATCATCTCCAACTGAGGGCTAAGCCAAATGGCTCATGGTTCCCATCCGGCCAAAGGACTGGTCAAGAGTAGCTAGCCCTCCAGCCCTCCAATGCCAGAATATCAAGTTTGACATTTTGCTAGCCTTCCAACTCAGCCCATTTGAATGCCAACTGTTATCTGGCACCAGCATGACGCCAGCTAGTAACGGCTAGCTGACGTCTAACTGCTGTTAGGTTATCGTTGGAGTTTGATTTTTTGTGACAAATTTAAAAAAAAAATTCTAATTTTTCTCCTATAAATACCTAAGCCATTCCCACACCATTTCTCACATACTTTTCACCATTCCATACTATCTTACTTCATTTTATTTCAATTCTTCACATTCTATTCTCTTACCTCTTCCAATAATCTTTCCTTTAATTTTTTAGTAATGAAAGGAAGGGTTTGGACCCGAAAAAATGATGAAGCTCTTTGCAGAGCTTATAGATGGGTCTCGGAAGATTGTGTCTCGGAAGATAGTGTCAATGGTAGTTCTCAAACAAGTGAAGGTGTTTGGAGGCGTGTGAATTCTATCCCAATATGCAGCCAATTTATTAACATTGGAAACTAAAGATAAGAAGTGCCATGTAAATAAGAATCATATCTAAAATTTGCACAACCAATTACATCTCGACATGTGGCACTTGAAATCCAATCCAACAATTTATTTAAGATTACATAAAGATAAGAAATCTGAAGAGTTACTCACTTTAACGACACGTGTCACTCGAAATCTTATCCGAAAAATTATTGAGATTACATAAATATAAGAAATCTGGAGAGTTACGTTAGTGACACGTGTCACTCGAAATCATATCCAAAAAATTATTGAGATTATATAAAGATAAGAAATCCAGAGGCTTATTCATTTGGCGATAAGTGGCACTTAAAATATGTTCGAAAACCTTATTTTAATATGGTAATTTAATTTAAGTAATCATATTAATTTAATTAAAATAAGAAATTATATTTGGCCTATGGCCCTTTGGCCCCCTCTATTGAAGACTGTATTTTTATAAAAGGCTATGTTTGGAAGTAAAAATTTCCTTCTTCAGTTGACTCGCACCACGGAGCGCAACCATGCATGTAAAAGGTTGTAAAACCCGCAATCAAAATGTCCTTCTTCAGCCAACTCACGCAACGGAGCCCACTCACTTAGAGGTCAACAATGTCCCCCTCTCCGTCCGAACCCACGAGATCTTGACTTGGAGTTTCGATGAGAGTAACATGTTGCGAACAAACGCCTCCCTCCCCGTCGACAACCACAACATCTTTCGTTGATTTTCGATGTGAGAGATTTGTTTGTTGAGATGCCAAAGCATTCTCTTAATCTCTTCCATGTCATGTGGGTAACTCTTGAGATTGAGTCCGACCTTGCATGGGGTTATAAGTCAGTGGACCTACTCTCCATATTACCAATTAGTTTTATAATGGAACCTTAACTTTCTTCAGTAACCACGATAATGAACTTCTGTCCGTTTGTCCCTGATATCACATGTTGTAAGCCATGAAATTTGACTCCGCGAATTCCACTCCATATACAATTGTCCCTGATGCTAACTGATGAAGATTCGGAAGGGCACACATCAACAACAACCGCATGGACACACGAGAAAGAGATAAAACGCTAGGAACCCTTACCGCTCAAAGAGCAATATTCTATAATAATATTCTAAAAGTATATATCCTGAACCCTAAATTACATTGTGCTTAAAAAATAGAGAAAATAACCTAGAGCCTTAACAAGGAATAACACATAAGAAAAATACTTAATTTCCTTGTCTAATAAGTAAGTATGGAAAATAAAATAAAAAATATAATAGACTATAAAAATAAGAATTAATCCCTTGATTTTCGTTGCATCAGTTGTCTAGTGAAGATGGTGAGTAGGGTTCTTGATATTAAAGCAAAAAAATTTCTTCTCTCGGTATAAAGTTCCATCCACAGTTCTTACGAAAGCTAGCATCTTTCGACTTAAAACACACACCCAAAAACAAAAAATTTTCATCGTTGTCATCACAACCTTATACGACCACTTTATCATGGTCATAATCACTATTTCAAATATTAAAAAAAACATATTATAAATTGTTGTCTATAACAATCCGTATAATTTTATTAAAGTTCATGATAAAAGTCTCACAAACTCTTTTAAAATCCTTGTGTGATTCAATTAAAATACGCATGAATCCTATAGAAGTCAAGTAACTCTCTCAAAATCCATGTGTTCATAACTCACACTGTATACAATACACCCCCTTTATACCTATATGCAAGAAATCATTCTTCATATACAAATCAATCATAAGAGATGTGTAACTTCTCTAATTAATTTGCAAGTCAATATGTATAATATAAATAAATTAATGTAACAATTCTGAATCCTCTTTCCTTCCTTAATAATATAAATATTTTTGAAAAAAAAAGAGGAAGCGAAGTCCAAACCAGGTTGGTCAGAGATGCAAGTAATATGAACTACGAATTCATGAAACTTCATTAGCTTTGTCTTGCAACTTTGGTAAGACAAACCTCGTGTGAAAGAAGGACATACTGTGAAGACTGATGAGAAATGGATGTAGTAGTTTACTGCATGGCCACGGTCCTTGGTGAAGGAAGGTTTGGACTCTAAAGTCAAAAATTGGACAGCAAAGCCATTACTTATGTCTCACTGATCGGGTGAAGCTGTCACATGCACATTTTAATTTGAGGAAGTGATTTCCATACATTCGTTTTTTCTTTAGGCACGTTCCTTGTTTTTTGTTTTTTTGGTTTTTAAATTAAATAAATAAAAGTGGTGCAAAAGAGAAAAATGGTGTGCGAAACATTAAAATTTTAGTGCTAATCACACTGATACACTGTTCAAATTTTATCACATCACAGTCCTTTACCTTTAGGTGTTGGTTTTTATCACAAAAGACCTTAATGCTATTAGTAGTGGAACCATTAATTTAGAGTAGTAATATACTATGTCAAGTTTCCGACGTGAGATTGAATTATTCTTCAACACGAAAATCATTTCCAATTCTCTACAAGCTAATTAATAACCTTCGAAAATCCATCTCTGTACCTAATTTCAACACTATTTATACCACATTCTAGTTATGCTAGCTAGAGTCATCGGTCTCAGCTACTGACTATCTATACAATTAATATGGATTTCAAAGCTGTGATCCTTCTGTTTGCCTCCATTCTCTTACTTACTACAAAGGTATTTAATTATGAATGGAAAATTTGCATGATGATTTCTATACATGTTATATATTTAATTTTTCTTATGTTTCTGAAATATTCAATGCTACTGTAACTTTCTAGGTCTCATCTAATCATGATCATGAACTCAAGATAAAGGTATTAATCATGTATATCTTCATATTAAAACCATATTGTTGATTATTTAAGTGCACTTTACTACTGTCCTGTTCCGTTGATCATATTAGCTTATACATTACTAATTTTAATTATGAACAGAATCAGAGTCAACGCCGTAGTTTACTTAATATTTGGATATATCCACGCATTCCATTTTGGAGCCAGCATTCAGGGATCCATATCAACCACAACGTCCACTGTATAAACCGAAGGCTCCCGTAGTACTGGAGGCCCCGCCACCCACTTCCGATGCAACTCCACCACCATCGGCGACTACCAGCTCAGGTATATATATACACATAACTCTAGTTTCATGATTAATGTGAATATTATATATATATATTTTTTAATTAGTATTAAATACTATATGTGTGTTTGCTGATTAACTAAAAAAAATTCTGTGGGCGTGGAGATTGCTTCAAGTTGTGTGACGTGAGGTGCAAAATCGAAAAGAACAAGAAGATCTGCCGGAAATCGTGCATGTTATGCTGTGCCCGCTGCAAATGTGTTCCGCCGGGAGACTATGGCACCAACATGGACAAGTGTGGCAAATGCTATAGTACTGATATACAGTATCACGGACACAAGTGCCCTTGACCTATATATTAATCTTGTAATTAATCAACTAATTAAGCATGAAGTCGAGATAATTAATAAGTATTATAAGGATTGATCGTAAAGGACAGAAAATAAAAGGCCAATATATATATAATTATATATATATGGTATTTATATGGCTTACGCGTCCAATATTTCGATAGTATTTTTAGTTCGTTTGAACTTTGAAACTTCAATAGTAAGATTATATTCAATTGTCCAATGTCAATGGCATAAACTTAGTATAACAATTAATGAAGTCTATGAATAAATAATATATCCTTTTAATTAAATATATGGATTGTATGGTTTTAGTTTTGAGAAATGCTTAGGAACTCTTCATGGACTCTATGTCTCCTTATGTTTTATAATAGTGACACGAAAATTGACGTTAAATTGTAAGATGACAAGGAGTCTCCTGCAGTCCAGCTGAACACATTAGCATTTCTCTTTAGTTTTAGCACTCTTTGGAATCTTCAGCCTTGCGGTCCAGCTAAACACATTCGTACAACTCTCATCTGCAACCTTGTGCTTGTTTTATCCAAAAGAACAAGAATTGTATCATTGAAATCAGCTTCAATGAAAGTAACACATACATAAGTACACAGAGAAGCATCTATGAAATTGCATGGATAAATAGGTGAGAACAAGTACAACGAGTTGCAAACCAATTATCGACTGTTTGTTGGTTCAACTTTCGTGCATCAACAATATAAACAAAAATGGCTTTCCAGAACCAAAAGGTTGCAGCCATGTTGTTCGTTTGGGTTGCAATTGCTAGCTTGGTGCTGGCTGTTTCTGCAGAAGTTAGCACTCCAGCCCCTGCCCCATCTGCAGCACCAACTGCTCTAATTACAGCATTTCCAGTGTCAATGCTAATTGGTTTTTTGGGGTTTATAATTTATCTCTTTTGATTAGTACCATATCTACGCTAAGCCTTTTGGATTAGGCTAGATTATCATGTTTGGTTGCCGTTGGCTGTTATGATGTGCATGCCAATCCCCAAATATGCCATATACATGGTCAAGTTTTGTATTAATAATGCTTATAACAGCTTTGCTTCGATATTTCATATATATGGTTTTCCCTTAATTTGTTGTAACATTCCAATACAATCTCGATCACGAGAAATCCCAAGATGGTATTATTATTGTGTCGTGTTAGTACTTGGTGTGGCATAATCAATGAAAACCATATGGATATATCATTAAAGTATAAACTCATCGTCTATTCGTACTATGAAATATTGGGGCCATTCATTATCGTACAATAATTTATTTAGGCATGCTTTGCAAAAAATAAAAGTTGAAAAATAAAAATATATGCTTTCAAATAAAGCTCTCAACAAACAAAAGATGTGGCTTCTGCCAATTGAACATATGACGTTCCACCCTTTTGTATTAAATTTTCGGATTTCCAAATTAAAATAGTTTAGAAATCGGTTTGTAGCAGATCAATTGTGTCGCAAAAGACAACGGCAGAGGAGAATAAGAAGGCACTTTCTCTCCTTCAATGTAGGGAAGCACAAGAAGTTAGCCAAAGTTAGGAAGTAGCTCAGCTGAAATTCCTCCCCAAACTTTCCAATTTTGACTAATTAACTATAAAATCAAATTCTTTGTAATAATCGAAAAATAAATAATAAGATGGTGCTATCCATGCACTTACTTTTACTTTTCACGCACCATTTGTTATTTTTTTTCTTTGTGATATTCTCCAATTTATTCAATTTGACAGTTGAAAATTAAGAAGGAGTGCGAGAGATAAAAAGAAATGTGCGGTTAACACTATCCTAAATAATATTACACCACCGTGTGAGTTCAAACTCTGTCGATTCCCTTATGTAACAAATTTATCCTTTGACAAAAAATAAAAATTAATATTACACATTCTGATCCTGAACTTCTAGGCCTCGGCCCATTCAACAATATCATCTCCTAAAATATAGGCCCAATGGGCCCACAATATTTTCTGAAAGAAGTAAGACTGCAAGAAAGAGAAAAAAGGAGCGAAAGTGTTAAACGACGACTGTGACGATCAGGAAGAAAGCGACGGAGTTAAAATTGCGGACGGCAGAGATGCGGCGGAAGGAAGCAACGCCAGAGCAAGCACGGAGAAGACGACGGACATGGCTGAAGAGAAAAGAGAAATGGCTGGTATCACTGGGCGTAGTTCTCCACGCCGTTTACATGCTCAGCATCTTTGACATCTACTTCAAGTCCCACATTGTCCACGGCATGGATCTCGTCAGCCCCCGCTTCTCCGCTCCCGCAAAGCGCCTCGTTTTGCTCGTCGGTACGTCCAATTTTCCTGGTAAAATTCCTCTGTCTTCTTATTGGAGTGTGCTATTAAAGGTTTGAGCTTGTGCTGCAGCTGATGGGCTGCGAGCCGACAAATTCTTCGAGTCGGATTCCGACGGGAACTTCAGAGCGCCGTTTTTGAGAAGTGTTATGAGAGAGAAAGGTCGGTGGGGAGTGTCGCACGCTCGTCCTCCAACGGAGTCGAGGCCTGGACATGTTGCTATCATTGCTGGGTTCTATGAGGATCCCAGTGCTGTTATGAAAGGTTGAATCTTTTTTTTTAATTTTTTAAATTTTTTCAGCATTTATACAGATGAAATTTGGCTTCCTGAAGAAACCCAATTCGTGTTTTCAGGGTGGAAAGCTAACCCTGTTGAATTCGATTCAGTTTTTCTTATGGTAGTCCGGATATAGTTCCGATTTTCTGTGCTGCATTGCCTCACACCACCCGGAATAGTTACCCTCATGAATTTGAAGACTTTGCTACTTTGATTTCAAACTTTCATCACATTGTTTCAGTTACAACTTGTTTTCTCTGTTTTTGTTTTCGATTTACTGGATTGTTTTCAGTCTTTCAGCACATTGCTACTAGTGAACTTTAAATATTTGGTAATTAGGTTGATGCTTCCTTTTATCAATATGTATGTGTTAATGCAGATGCTTCCTTTCAGGATGAGTGGTCTTTCGATCAGTTTCAGAGCCTTCTGAATCAGTCCAAAGAAGACCAGAAGTTGAAGGAGTTACTCTTACGGGATAATCTCGTTGTGTTTTTGCACCTACTCTGCTGTGATTCAAATGGCCATGCCCATAGGCCCTTTTCGTCCATATATCTCAATAATGTTGCGGTTGTTGACAGTGTAGCTGAAGGGGTTTATAATCTTCTTGAAGATTATTACGAGGACAATCGTACTGCATACGTATTTACCGCTGATCATGGAATGCATGATAAAGGTTGGAATTAATTCGTTTTCCATTTATATAAATATTTTGCTTCTCTTTTCTCACTGAATTGTTATAAGTTTTGATCGTACATCATTTTTTCCCCTTAATAACAGTCTTACATGGTATAATTTCACTGATAGGCAGCCATGGAGATGGACATCCTTCAAACACTGATACTCCCCTGGTTGTTTGGGGAGCAGGTTTTAAACATCCCAAGCCAGTCTCCAACCATTCTGATTGCAGTTTTCGTTTTGTTGATGATCATATGCATGATGCGCCAACACCTAAAGAATGGGGCCTTAATGGCATTGAAAGGGTGGATGTTAATCAAGCTGATATTGCACCTCTCATGGTTGTTACAATTTGTTTTCCCGACTTCTTTCCCCTTAAACTACCTTTCAAGTTTTATCACTCTTACTTGCTGATTGAGTTTTCTGGCACTCAACTCTTCTCGGTTTGCCTGGTCCTGTAAACTCAGTTGGAAGTTTACCTCTTGATTACGTAGACATGACAAAGGTATAGTCAACCAGTTTGATTGATGACCTTTTCTTTTCGTTGTAAAGGATGTAAAATGTTATCACTTTTATCTTTGCCTGCATATGCATATTCTATTCGATGAGTTTTCTGGTTAATTGGTAGACAGCTGAGTTTTCTCTTTTGTTTCATTTTCCAGGAGCGTCCGAACTCAAGGGGATTGCCCTTTGTAAAATCAAAGAACAGAAAGGACAACCATATTGTATTACTGGCAGGTGAATTCAAACAAAAACAGAAAGGTCAACGGCCATAACCGTGTCCCTCAGATTCACTGTTAGATTCCTATGTAAATTACTTTGTAGGAGAACACTTCGCTGCTGCTTACACTCAATCCCGACTGAACATGTGTTCAAGTTTTGAGTAAAAAAATTAAAACATGAACATGTGTCCAACTAGAATTGGGTATAAACAGCAGCTGCTACTGAATTTGCAGCAGCCAAGTGCAGTTCTACTTTGTATTCTTCCGCGAATGTCAGTAGTTAAAAGCAATAATATATTAAACTACTCTTAAATTTTTGTTGCGTACGAAGCAACAGGGAGCAACATGGAATGATCAATCTGAACTTTAACATGTGTTGAAATGTCACACTGTATCTATGAGAAAATAAAAGTTTAAATACTCTAATCTTACTTCAACTAATACCGAGATCTTTTATGATAAAACCTTACACCTGACGGATTGTGCAGGTAGTAATTACCAAGTTGGGAACATTATTAGTGTTGTTGGAAGTGAGTCTTTGACTCGTCTCTTTAATAATTCAACATAGTATCAAAGCCAGGGAGTGGGCCCGTATTATACTGCTACGTGATGGGTTGGTCCCATTGGCCCTGCACGATGATGGTGGGTTCCTTGGCCCCGCGTGTAGGTGAGTCCCCTTGGCTTTTCGTGATTGTCGATGTGTGGATCTCTCACGTGTGACCCACTAATTAGGTTCCACGTGAAGGGCATGTTGAAATATCACACATTGACCGTATCTATGAGAAAATAAGAATTTAAATATTCTAATCCCACTTTAACTAATACCGAAGCATTTTGTGATAAAACCTCACACATGAAGGATTGTGCAGATGATAATTGTCAAATTTGGATAGTATCAGTGTTGTTGGAAGTGAGTCCTTAGCTCATCGATGTTGTTGGAAGTGAGTCTTTAGCTCGTTTATCTGATAATTCTACAAAATGTAGGTAAGAAGACTAGGAAAAGCGTCGAGGCAAAGTTCCAGCGGCCCCTCCTCCGAGAACCTTTCGCGAGCAAGATCCGTTGACCACGACGAAGACTTTGCTGTGCATTGTCGATTTGGTGGGAAGTTTCCTCGTGGGGCCTTTTGATTGGTGGGACAAAGACGGCCTTAACATTAATAATAATGATAGGATTGATTCCAATTCTGCTATACAAGACATTTCATACTGGTTTCCAGTTCTCTCATCTCCTTTATGTTTTTAAGCAGATCGGCAAAAGCTTGAAGATGAACATCAAGTAAGCCAACTTCAACTTCAAACTCCTCCGATCCTTGTTTATTTGAATCCTTTGTCACTGATTTTTCTTTTGTTGTCTTGATTAAGCGAATAACATTCTGAAATGACTAAAAGTGTTTTACAACAATCAAAGTTCTTATAGTTAAATCTGGCAAAAGAAACTTACAAAACGCTTTTAGATGGTATGAGCACTTTCCGGAGAAGCCACCTTCAACAAGGCACTTCTAAATTTCCATGTGCTTTTTCGAGGAGCACTTGAATATTTAATAAACATTTCTATATGTTCATAGTAAAACCTAAGTGCTTATGAGTAAATTATTTCTTACAAATAAGTTTAATAATCGTCCTTACAGTTTTACCAAACTGAAATTTCATTCATACTACTGTTTTGCTAGAGTGCCTTCATTATAAATGCATTTCTTTACAAAACACTTAAGGTTGGTTTCGAACCTGAAATAGGAGTTTCGAACTTGACATGTATGGATAGAAACCCAACATCGTATCCACTGGGATATTGGACGCATATGTTATTTGCTTACATCCTCCGTTTAAATTTGCTTTCAATTTTTTGTTGGTGATGACAGAATTAGCAGTGCTGGGCTTGAGCTAGCAAATGTGCTGGTGACATCTCCTCCCCTGCACCAGTCATGGGACGCGGTTCAGAAGCAAAAGCTCCACACATCTCCTGATCCGTACGCACAAAGAGCCTTATACATTAGTGAAACCAAGCACTCAAACACCACCATCATATCTTTTCTTGCTTCACCCGTCACACTTCAAGATCGACAAGCGATGATTTCGTGGAATCTCAAGAACAATTTTTTTCCCCTCTTTGGCAACACCCCAAGTTTCTCCGTCAATGAATTGGCATTCAACTTCTTTGCCTTGAATCACAACGACCTTAATCGTCTTAAAACAAGGGTGCGTATTGTTGTCTCTCGATAACTGATAATGTTTAACCGCGTTGACAACTATTAATGTTAGTTCAAAACAGTTAACATTTATAATGTTAGATTACTTTCCACTTAATTAGTTTGGCTTCTTTGACAAACCGTTAATATTAGTGAGAAACACTTATAAATCCCTCATTAATAGTGTTATAAGAACCTAGTGTAGTAACAGTCGAATCCATTTCATTTTTGTTTCAAAACCTAGTTTTACGTGTTTTTTTTTTTTTTTTTTACTTTGAATGAAGTTTTGAGGAACTTATTTTTAAAGACGTCTCCGAATTGATTATATAGCAGTTCAGTAATTGACTAACTTTTATGTAATATTTCAGCTGGTAGAAAGTAGCAAACCCGACTCATTGATACTTATCACTGGACATTCTATGGGAGGCGCTGTGGCTACCCTTTTCACCTTATGGCTGCTACAAACCCTCGACTTGTCGAAATCCAAACGCCCCCTTTGCATCACTTTCGGTTCACCCTTGATCGGTGACGAACAACTCCGACAATATGTGTTGCAAGTCTCAACATGGAGTTCTTGCTTCTTGAATGTAGCCTCCATCAATGATCCTGTACCTAAAGTCTTCCTAACTGCTTCGCAAGCGAGTGGTTACAAGCCTTTCGGAACATTCCTACTGTGCTCCGCTTCGGGTGGTTCTTGCTTTGAGGACCCTGATGCCATTTTGCAACTATTGGTGGAAACCAGCTCTCAGAGTGCTCAAATTCAAGGTTTTGATTACGGACAGATTTTGAATGATCTCAAGATGAAGGCATTTTCTAGAGATGTCTTTGAGTTGGTGAAGAGGATAGAATACCACTTAAAGCTGGAATTAAAACACGGTTGGCAGCAATATTTGGAGTTCTCAGCTCACAGGTATCAAACTTTCAACACAAATATCTGATTTGATGATGATTTTGGGAAATGGTTTCTGCACAAACTTGTTTATTTCTGTCACTCGGTTCTCCTTTGATTTATTTAATCCAAAGTCTAGAGACTAGAAATAAACACGGGTGTCCAGGGGGGAGAATATGAGTTTGCGGAAATCACATCCCATATTTACTTCTACTGACTTTTCTTTCAACTCCTTTTGTAAAAGTCATTGCAGCAGCAACAACCCAACATAAAATTCGATAGTCTAATGAAAAAGATGGTCAATCACGAACGTAAAGTAGCGATCCAGAAGACGAAGGTTTACAGTTCTTTCTTGAAATTGAATCAGAATCAAAAGTACATGGCCAACATGGAATGGTACAAGAAGGAGTCCAAAGACATGGGCATTGGATACTATGACAGGTACAGAAACCAGCGTTATGCGAGTGACATTTGTGCTGAAGAGTACAAGCAGAAGCTCATGAATTACTGGGAGGATACGGTTGCAGAAGTTGAGAGCAAGCCCCAGAAAGAACAAGCCGCAATGCGTATCCATTTTCTTTCTGCTGGAACGAATTACAGAAGGATGATCGAACCGCTTCACATTGCAGAGTACTACAAGGAAGGCGGAAAAGATTACAAAAAGGAAAGGCCTCGACATTTCGTTCTTTTGGAGCAATGGTTCAATGAAG